ACCTCTACCCAGTTGTGAAGGGCTAGTGATCATAGACAGTCAGACGCCTTAACCAATCAGCCACAGAGGCACCTCAAATCATGAGTAAAGCTACTGATAATAGGTATGGAAAAATCACCAACAATTATAATTAGTTACTGTTATTTAAAGTTAAAAAATCACCAACAATTAGCTGCTATTATTTTAAGTTGACAAATCACCAACAATTAGCTACTGTTATCATATGTTGACAAATCACCAACAATTAGCTACTATTATTTAAAACTGACAAATCACCAACAATAAGCTACTGTTATTTAAAACTGACAAATCACCAACAATAAGCTACTATTATTTAAAGTTGACAAATCACCAACAATTAGCTGCTATTATTTTAAGTTGACAAATCACCAACAATTAGCTACTGTTATTTTAAGTTGACAAATCACCAACAATTATAATTAGTTACTGTTATTTAAAGTTGACAAATCACCAACAATTAGCTACTGTTATTTAAAACTGACAAATCACCAACAATTAGCTACTATGGGTTTGCTAACACATTACAATGTCCTTCATTAAGAACATTACACTCATATTGAGCTTTTTATCAATTGTACAGCAATATAAAATGTCCATATCATCTGAAGTTGAATCCTCAAAATATTGCTCCAACAGAAAAGGTCAGTGTGTGAGGTTTTTCATCGTTGTGCTATCAAATACCCCCATTTCATTCCTGTTCTGTAAAGCCGATCTAGCTAAAGGTTTGCCTATCTGTCACAAACATCATCACACACAGAAATCAATAGACAAGTCATTTTTCCTCACAATTTTATGGATGAAGTATGTACACATAGCACACAGGAACAAATTGCCATGAACCATCCATAAGCCCTACTTTATAAATGGGTTGACGTTAATTAATTTTCAGTATCTTAAGCCCTTATGGTTGTAATTAATTACAAAAGGATGTCATATAATTCACGCATCTTTGATTTTGAGGTAAAGATCACAGTGACCTAATTATAGTACACTACACACCATCTATGTGTAACGCTGAACACCAGTATACTTCAATGTTGATCATGATAACTTACGGATGGACAGACAACGGATGCCGCAGTACCCTTTTGGCCTTTGGGCCAGGTGAGCCAGGAACAAAGCTAGGATATGGATTGAAACAGAGACCATAACTGGTTGCTTGTGTGACAGTATAAACTTATTGTAATATTCTTTACAAAGATTGAAAAAGTGAAGGAGGTTGTATTAGGTAGATTTTATGATTTGTTTCACAATTTTCAGTGTCTCATTTAAAATTCAGCCTGTTCATTGCTAACACATGATACTGCACAATTGCAATAGACAGAATTGCTTGTAGGTATGTAACCAAATATATTTGAAGCTATGTATACCATAAAGGTTTAACAGCACAGTAACCCAAATCTTTATACATTACAGTACATTCCACTTATAGTCATGTTGGTTTATGTCATGTTTTGCTTCATATCACATTTTTGTTTTAGGAAGACATTCAAGTCATTTGGACAATCATCAAAATAAAAGTCAAGGAGAAATTTAACTTGTGTTGTGGTATGATGTGGGAACTGGTCTTTTGTTACATCTGGGCATGACATGTACACGAACATCAGAACCTAATGACCCAGGGTCATTTGTCAGACCTGTCTCATTGTTGAACAATAGGCATTTCACTGGGAGAGTTCATCAGTATTGCTAAGGACAGTCAGGGTAATGTAGACTTTGTATATGTGTTCAATTGCTTGTAGCTAGCCAAAAATATCTCATGATCTAACTGAGCGTTCATCATGTTGGATACTGAACACACCTTGCCATAAAGTTTGCCTTCAAATTTCCGTCAAAATACCATGATCTATTTTGACAAAATAATTAATTGGTTTTTATAACAATGCCTTCATGTTATTCAACTTGACCAAGTGTTATTTAATCCATGGTAGAGCAGGCCTCGTCAAACAACCCAGTGATGGACCATACACATTGTGCTCTGGGTTACATGTGTTGATGTCATCATTTACACATATACTTCAAAGATGTAACAAAATATAAAGATATCAAACACAAACATTATAGTTACTATCACATTAATGAAAGAGACAATTTAAAAAAAGGACACAGTGTGTTTCATGCACGTCTCTTCTTTATCATAATCATACGAACAAGTTACCATGTAGATGTTGTAATCTACAGACCGATGATTGCAGAAATAAAACAAAATGATATGATATTGATTTCTATCACTTAGAGAATCTCTGTTTTCTATAGCAATTTTTTTCCTGTTAGGGTATTTTAAAAACAGTTACAATTGAACAAAAAAATAACTTTGAAAGTGAAATCAACCAAGAACAGGAACAGATATTGATTTTCAAAGTAAAAGAAACAAGAGGCCCAAAGGCCTTCATAGCTCACTTAGGAATATGATTTTTTATTCAAAACCTCTGAAATACTGTATGTGTACAAAGAAATGAATCAAAAGGAAATACTGAACATGTACAAAATGTATATATCAGATGAGCTTAATTATTAAAGCTAAGAATGTAAGAAGGATTAACTTCCCAGGTGCAAGGCCAGACAGGGGCCCTGGCCAACTCTAGTAGCATGAGTGTCGAAAATCATAGCAATTTTATATAGCATGACAGAATGAGGATCTCAACTATTTCCATTTTATAAATCTATAAGTTAGACTCACGGGGCAGGGCCGGAACCAATAGTGAATCCTGGTGGCAGGGCCAGAACCAATAGTGAATCCTGGTGGCAGGGCCAGAACCAATAGTGAATCCTGGTGGCAGGACCAGAACCAGGTAACGTTTTGGGGAACAATTGTCAGGTAACGTTTTGGGGAACCATTGTCAGGTAACGATTTGTGGAACCATTGTCAGGTAACGACTTTGGGAACCATTGTCAGGTAACGATTTGGGGAACCATTGTCAGGTAACGATTTGGGGAACCATTGTCAGGTAACGATTTTGGGAACCATTGTCAGGTAACGATTCTGGGAACCATTGTCAGGTAAAGTTTTGGAGAACTTTTGTCAGGTAACGATTTGGGGAACCATTATCAGGTAACGATTTGGGGAATAAGTCCCCAGATGTAAGATCATATCTAGAGGTCAATTCTAGAAGCATTAAATGTATTCGCCTGTGTATATGGCTATAGAGTGGGGATATCAACAGTTCTCATGTTCACCTAGAGATTTAGGGTGGTCAGGTGGCACAGTGGATAGTGCATTTTCCTTTTACCAAGGTGGCTGGGGTTCTATTCCCCAATAATGGTTATGTGGTGGGAATTTTAATCATTTTTATGTTGTAAATGTACAGCTTTACACCCAAGATGTCCCTATTGAGGGGACACTTCTTCAGCTTGTGGGGTTACACCATCTCCATTTTTCAATTTCAACAAAATTTATTGATAATCATGATCAATTGGATTGAACATCAGGCTTAAAGCCTATACATGTATTAAGTTCTTTCAATATTACATTTTATTCAAATAATATTCGGTAGAAATCGAAACTAAGTAATATACAGTAAGATCAAGTTTATCATATATTTTAACATTTGACTTATTATACTTTTTTGTAATTTAATTTTAGATTTCGCAATGGTATAAAAGTTTAATACATGCTGATACAAATGCAGCTGAGAGATAAGTGCCGAATCAACACCCAAGTTTCTGACTGTAAAGTCCATGGGTTCTTCACCCTATAGTCTTCCACTCAGGCTTCGATTGCACACATAGCTCCCTGAGCCCCATATGTAAAAAGTGCATTTTATTTCTTCAATGTTTACGAGAGACGAAATTCAAACAATATAAAGGAAATGAGATTTTATAAGTATGTTTCTCACAAGTCATCAGTGATCATCAAGGTGCACATCTCCACAGTATATATCATCATAATCAACACCAGTGCATGTAAACATACCAATTGACATCTACAATTACTGAAACATAACTTCAAAAATATAACCATTCATCATCCATGAATGCGCACATACACCATCTTAATTTATACAAACTATGATCATTGTGCCTTAGTGATAAATCAAACCAAAATATGGTTACTACCTGTGTGGCTGTTTAGGAGGAATCAGATGTTGGAAGCAAAAATGTGTTAAATTATTAAATTTAATGTCTGTTCTCTGCCCCCTGGGAACCCACAAACTTATTTATCCAAAATATGATTTTATTGCCCCAGTGATGTTTCAAACCAAATATCGTAAACATCTGTGGTTGTTCAGGAGAATAAGGTTTTCGAAAGTTTAAATTGCCTAATTTTGCCTTATATTGAGTCAATCTTATGCCCTGCATGGATTTTAAAAGTGAAAATACTCAGATATTTATTTGATTGCATTGGAATTATTTTGGTACACCATTCTTGATTTTCACAAACAATTTTGACGGAAAATATATGCATCAGTATGTAAAATTGAACTACATTCAATGACTGCCCAGATGATGATAGTACCAGTACACCTGCAGGGTTCAAACACTGTCACACACTCTCAACTTCACAGACAATGGCCTGATAAGGTTAGGGACATATACTTTAATAAGAAGTCAACATAAGGTCATATAATATTGCTTGTATAAAGTTAGTACACCATATAGATATCCTCCCATGACTTAACCAAACTGATATGCCCATTAGCCAACTGAAGTTATCTCCCTTTGTCATCAACCAATCATACACTTCTAAACTTAACCAATTTAGCCAATACTGGTAAAGAGCTGTTGGGAACCAATTTCCACAGAAAAACACATAATGACAATGAAGTTATGACTGCTATAACCTTTACAAATAATTAAATCTTTAATTCTCTTATTAGGCAATAGTGTTTTTACAATAACCTGCATTAAAATCTGTTTTGTCTGGACACATTCTGCCTTCTTAATAAGATTAAACATAGCATAGCATTTCCATGGTTTACAATGCTGCCAGCTGCTAGGTTAAATGTAAGCTGTACACACATGAAAAGACAACAGCTTACCTATTTTGAGGGTCTTCATTACAAGTGGAGTGATTGGAGAGTCAAACTCACTGCCCACCTGACTGTAAAGGTCCAGCTCTTCCTGGTCAACTATATAGTCTGTGGCGTGTCTCACACAGTGTTTAAGGTTTTGGAAGTCTGTTAGTGTACTGTCTGCCTTTGTTACCTTCTGCATCACTTCGTCAGACAACCGTGACAAGGCCAATATCGACACCACTCCTTGGGCCCTTAACCTGCAGATATCGGGTGGAAATGTCTTTTTATCTAGAAACTTACTTTGTAAGATATGTTTTTAACGCAATATAACTCACTAAAATCATCGTTTTACTTGCCACCCTGCTCAGCACCATTTTCCAATTGTTTTGCTGGTTTTCTTGGTAATCCTTTTACAAGTTTCTCTTGACCCATTGCTAAAACCCCTTATAATGCCCAAATTATACTTGACAAATGGTTATAGCATAATTTATTGTGTATACTGAAATAACTCCAGCATCCCTCATTAGAAGAGGATTTTAATCCACCTTCCACAAATTACCTGTTAAAAACTGTAGATGGAATTTTGTTTTTCTGCAGCAGTATTCGGAGATATGTTTCTTCTTTTAATGCATTAAATGCATTTCTAAGTTCATTCTGTTTATCTGAAGGCAGAGCGGAAAAATCTGGTATCTTCTCCAGATCTATGGATAGAAGGTCTTTGTTTGTTTCTACATCTGGAATAAAAAACACAATTGTAATTTCTTCGTTTTTTTTACAAATAATCAAGATTTCTTACTAATTACATTATAAATTAAACCACATAACACCAATTGTCCTCTGTATAATTTCCTGAAACGTATTAGCTTCATCAGACAGGCTGACAATTTTTGAAATAATAAAAAAGAAATGAGAAATTAAAAAAGTAAGAGACAAACATTTCTCAGATTTTTTTTATCTGAAAGCAAAAATAAAGTTCACTGAGATATCTGTCATGCCCTTTTTTAGTCTCAAAAACTGCTTTGATCTGCAATTATTTTATATCCATCCTGATCCAATATTGGGATAATATTTATTGGGTCAGTCATGGGGTAATATTTACTGGGTAGGTCATAGGGTAATATTTACTGGTAGGTCATGGAATAATATTTACTGGGTAGGTCATGGGGTACTATTTACTGGTAGGTCATGAGGTAATATTTACTGGTAGGTCATGGGGTAATATTTACTGGGTAGGTCATGGCCTATCTATGTGGCAGGATAGCCTGTCCAAGTATTATGGATAGTGTAGTAATTAAATTACAATTTTTTAAGAAAGGCGGATGAATGAAGTAATATTAGTGGAGTTTAATATGTAATTATGTCTTGTTTGTTCAGGTGTACATGTATTGTGTGTTTAGTATCTAGTCTTGTTCAGTGTCATTGTCTATGTGTCAGTTGTTCAGTGCCATGTGTTTTTGTTTATGTTTTGTTCTGTAACCTGTGACCTGTTTGTGACCTGTAACCCCATACTTACCTGTTGGTCATGTGACCTTTCCTACCTGCCCATGCAATTCACCTGAGTGTAAATCAGTTCTGGCAGACAGGTTGGAGGGATTGACCATATGTAAAAGGTAGGAGTTAATATGTTCAAAATTAATGTAATTTTGAAGATACTCTTTTCATGTAATAGCTAACTGTAAAACAGATTGTATTTACTCTCCAAATTAGGATGAGATATTTTGAGTAACTAGTATAGTGTACTTTATTGATGTACTGAGTAATGTTCAGGCTATATGCTCTGTGAATATTTGGAAATTTGGAATAACTTCTTTCTATTTCTATTTTAATGATAATGTAAATATATCAGACTAAATCAATTACCTACTACGATGTAACAGCTATTAATTGTTCTTGCAAGTAGTGTAAAGAGTCATTGGTTATTTGTTCAGATTCGCCTGCAGTTATATATACTGGATTATCAGGATTATGTGGGAACCCTTGTCGCATTGATAGAGTAAGTTCATTACAGTTATATATAATATAAACAATGTATATTACAAATGATATATGTTATTGGTCTAAGTAATGTGTAATATATTAGCCAGTTAAATAGGTTATAAATTAAGTCTATTTTGTCCATGAGCATTGTTATATAGTCAATGAAATCAGTAAATATATTGTAAAATAAATAATAAGTATGAAATAGGATTAATAATAAATGATAAATGTAATTATACAGATAATGATATGAAACCTTGTAATAGGTACAGTGTAATGTTTTAGTAACAAGGTGGTGTCTACTGCATGTTGTCTTATACGTTCGTTATTGTGTTCTTGTAGGGTGTAAGATCCTTCCAGCTAGTCTGATGTCCACAAATGGAATAATTAAAAGAATGGAAACCAAGAACGTGTTTGTTGTAACGCCTCTGCCCAAATCCCATCCCTGTTTCATCTACCTATTTTGTTTCATTTTCAAGATAAAACTTTGATATTGCTGTCACACCTTAACATCTGTTTTGTGGTGGATTTGACAAACTAGAACATGTACTGTCATCAATTAGCAAGACTCCAGCAGATGGACAATACAGTGTAACAAATTTATGGTGAGACAAATGAAGGGGAAAAGATAACAAGATAACTGGTTGTGGGTAAACAGATGTAGGGGAAGTTCTTGAAGGGAAACAAAACACCCGCGAAAACACCCGCGATCACAACAAAGTCAGAATTTCATGTGAAATATGTCGTTTATTTCAACGAAACTTACATAATCATAACCAGTAAGGTATTTAATTTCTTCTATATATCTGAAAATAACGTGTTTGTTTTCCCTAAATTTCTAATTATATGTGAAAAAACGTGATTTTCACGGTTGACTGCGGCGTACAAGTTTTACCCCCTTGAAATACACATTATTGTCGATTTCTAAATTATTAGATGATAAATAAACATTTTTGTAACTGTCACATTTAGAAAATAATGTTTGAAATGATTTTATATTTTTATAATAAATATAAACGATCGCGTTAATGAGACATTAAAATATCTTTATATTCCTGGTAACGGAGTTTCAGTCCGGGTCCGGGAACGGGGTACAAGATTTACCTACCACCAAATACAACAAATAAACAGCAGAATGTCACTGGAATACCTTAATAATTACCTTGTTCTGTAAATACTTTATTGTACTGTTCGAGCCCATTCTTGTCTATCCAGTCCCAAATGTCTACCTGGGCGGAGGATACGGGAGGCGCTGTTTGAAAGGCTATGTGCAATACTGTAGCGATAATGAACACACCCAGCACAATAACAGGTGCTTTAGTAGATACACGTCCAAGAGTTTCGTGTATCGAAACAACCACATTTTTAAACATAAAACACATTGTAATTAGTGTATCGATAACAATATAAGGTGGCCCTCTTGCAATAGGAGGACGAGGTGGCATTTTGGATGTCTTCGTTTTAGCTATGTCCAATATTAGTCATGTTATCACTCGATGAGTCCTTGGCAGCACAGCAGGAAAAAAAAATCATGTTTCAACGGACAAGGACGGCACAACTGTGCTGTAAACTTATTCCATGCGCATGGTAACACTCGTCTTTCAGACTGTCTGATTCAACATCACAAAGATACAATGAGCACTAAATTGATACAACATCACATTCCTGTTTTTAAAAATGACAGTTTCCAGTTTCTGTTTACGTTTATTTCTGGTTCATTTCCGCTTTAAAATCGTGATCACACAAACGCTTTGAGTATGTTGATATATCGTCAGGTTCAAACTTTACGTTGACTCGTAGAACCACAAGTATTTTGAGCGTATTGTCAAGACAGTGTGGGTCCTATAGCCTTGTATAACACTCCTCCTTTCGACCTACTGCTGATTAGATGCTGGAATCCATGTAATTACCAATTTGTGTTACTGAAGGACTGCTTAGCTAAGTTGGTTATGAAAACGTGACATTGCTGTACTGGTACCGGTAAGAATAGGATGTTTCGGTACTTTTTTGTCAGCAATTTTCACATGGCACAAAAAAGCAAACCGACTCAGGCGGCGCTTGTATCTGGCGTCTGTGGTGTACTCCATCGGTAAACAGATACAGTTAAAGTGATAAGTGACTTGTTTAATACTATTTTTTTTATTAGTTCTATGACTAAACTAGTGTATCAAACTTGTTCTCTTTTTGGGGAGGTTGCTTAACAACCAGATTCTAATAATTTCGGTATCCAGATTAAGTACTAAAAATAGTGTGTTTTAGAAGTATCAGCATAGTGCAGAATGACGAGGGTTGGTGATGTGTGTTAGAATATATGACATGTACAGGAGTTGGCATGTCGATATTCGTGCAATGCACATTCTCTCAACACTATGACACTAGATTGGTTATATCATAGGAACGGAGCAATATGCCATTTATTGTACAAGAGTTGTGGGGCTACTTCTCAAGCGCATAGCGCGAGAGATGTTTGCCCCGTCCCTCAAGTAGGATTACTGACATATTGTGAGGCCTATGATGTTTACCTGACTTGTCGCATAAAGTGTCAGTTACATTTTTAGCCATTCGAATCACCCTGCGTCCGTGGTCCGGTCGTCCATCCTTAAACAATTCTTGTTATCGGTATTTCTCAAGAAGTACCAGAGGGATCTTTCACAAATTATGTATGTAGGTTCCCTTCGGTCCTTATATAATTAGCTGTGCAGTGCAACTTTTGAGACTGATCGGATAAACAACATGGCCGACAGGCAGCTACTTGTATTTTGATAGTGAAAGTTTGTTATCGCTATTTCTTAGGAAGTACAGGAGGGATCTATCTCAAATTTATATGTAGGCTCCCCTTGTTCCCTTGTTGTGCAGCAGTGCCTGAAATGGACGATAGCCTGCTCGCCAACGTTGGTTAAAGTCTTACTTGAGCGGTCAAAAGTGAGGTAGTCACTGGCCCAACAAAAAAAGTTTGGGCGGCTGTCGAAAAATTACTGAATAAAAGAAATTATAGTCCCTTCCACATAACTGGGGGGCAGTACATTTTTCAGTTGTCATTACTTCAATTTGAAAGGAACTGTGCATGATTTAGAAAATGTGATGATTTTTTTTTCAGATTTTCTATGTAAATACTGCCAGGGTGTCTTCCTTGAGGTGCGAATTTTGTGTATTTCTTTTTGGGAAGACCTGAATAATGTTTTAATCTGTTTTACATATTTAAATGTGCTGAAGCATTGTGTTAAATGCTGTGGAAATTTTTATTCCCAAAATTATGTTGGCCACAAATGCAATATGTCATTTAATTTGGGCCACTGCTTCAAATTTTGTACTCGCCCAAAAAAAATTGGGAATCCAGCCAGTGCAGGTTCCCCACTATCCTTTATTGTTCATGTTTACTTTTGAAACTGATCAGTTAAACAAAATGGCCTACCGACAGCCCTCTTCGATTTTTTACATTGAAGGTTTGTTAGTACTATTTCTCAGGAATAACTTGAGGGATCTTTCTCAAATTTGATATGTAGGTTCCCCTTGATCCCTCGTTGTGCATGTTATATTTTGAGACTGATCATAAAAACAAAATAGCTAAAGGAAGAACTAAACAGATCTTTCTCATATTGCAATGATCAATTCTATTTTTTTCACATTAAGTACTGTACTAGTAAATATATGAAATGACAAACTAACTTTGAAGGTTGGCTTTTATACACATCAGTATTAAGTTAGATCAAAAGTTACCTCGAGGTACATTTTCTGTTAACATGACTCGATCAAACAGATAAGAGGAAAGAAGAGAAAAGATTGAACTGACAAAGAACTAATGAAGATGGTACAATGGGGGGTGCCAAGATCCCTCTGGGATCTCTTGTTATGGTTAAAGTTTGTCATTTTCTCTAAAACATTACAACATGTTGAACTGCGTCCCAAACCCAAGGCCAGTTTTACGAACGATGTATCTGACAAAATGCGTGGTTGTCGAAGTCGATAACTGGCATTGAAAGTGACCCAGAAAGTATCACTGAAACTGTACTGGAAGACTTATAAAATTAACTATACTATACAGCCGATTTTCGAATTTTTGGCATTTTTTTTATCGGTTGTTTAACATCATTAGATGAAAAGTAGGAAATGCCTGTTATCAGCCGTTTTCCAGACCCCGTTGGAAGTAAGGACTTAAAAATCACAGAACCCGAGGGAGAATGATAAAAAATTGAGGCCGTTAGGTATATAAAAAATATGTTAATACTGATATTAAACCTACAAAAGTAAATGTCAACATCCTTACAGAAAAAGACAAGGTTCCATTGTCATGTGTCTTTCCATTGAAATATGGACTTAAAATAATCTAATTTCGTGTTACATGTTACAAAATTAAAGCAAAAGATTTGTTCGCATGCAGACTCTGTAAAGGTGAATTCTGTTTTTTTGATTTTTGCAATATTTTTTCTGAATGAACAATGTTAGTACTTTCTTTATCTGTATTTTTAGTTTATTTCCCGTAGTGTCATTTCCAGTTAACATGTTCAATGAGATTCACTACTTGGACACGTTACATTTTCATTGGCAGACAAATGAGAATGGAAAAATCTATTGTACACGGTAAAGGGGAGGAGCTTCACTAATATTATATGGTATTAGTAAACCTGTGTAAAATTAGTTGATTATACCATAGATAGATCAAAGGGAAAGTGACACGTCTATGCGGCAAGTACGGGATAAACAACACATAGAGTCATGTCTTAGTGCATTGAGTATACCTTGTTACATATATTCTTTATTTGGGTAACAATTACTGTTTGCAATAACAATTTTATTTAAACAATAGGAGCAAACATGGGTGTCATTCTTTCAGCATGACTTACACAGTCACAGTGACCCAAATAAGGGAATACATATGTAAATTATTAGCCATATGAGGGGTTTTACCCAACCTGTTGCAGTCTTGTCAGAGTAAATCAAAGTCGTGAAACACTGCCACATGCCTGAGTCTTTTCCCCCTGCTTATGCACATTCTTTTATCTTATTGTAAATTTGTATATTAACTTTTTATCTGGTTTGATAATTATAACATCCAGCACATGCATTTTATACAGTGGCCATCTTGATACACATGCAGTTTATACAGTGGCCATCTTGATACACATGCAGTTTATACAGTGACCATCTTGATAGATGCAGTTTATACAGTGGCCATCTTGATACATAATTATAACATCCAGCACATGCATTTTCTACAGTGGCCATCTTGATACACATGCAGTTAATACAGTGGCCATATTGATACACATGACGTTTATACAGTGGCCATCTTGATACACATGCATTTTATACAGTGACCATCTTGATACACATGCAGTTTATACAGTGACCATCTTGATACATGCAGTTTATACAGTGGCCATCTTGATACACATGCAGTTTATACAGTGGCCATTTTGCTACACATGCAGTTAATACAGTGGCCATCTTGATACACATGCAGTTTATACAGTGGCCATTTTGCTACACATGCAGTTAATAAAGTGGCCATCTTGATACACATGCAGTTTATACAGTGACCATCTTGATACATGCAGTTTATACAGTGGCCATCTTGATACACATGACGTTTATACAGTGACCATCTTGATACACATGCAGTTAATACAGTGGCTATCTTGATACACATGCAGTTAATACAGTGGCCATCTGGATACACATGACGTTTATACAGTGGCCATCTTGATGCACATGCAGTTTATACAGTTACCATCTTGATGCATATGCAGTTAATACAGTGGCCATCTTGATACACATGACGTTTATACAGTGTCCATCTTGATACACATGCAGTTAATACAGTGGCCATCTGGATACACATGACGTTTATACAGTGGCCATCTTGATGCACATGCAGTTTATACAGTTACCATCTTGATGCATATGCAGTTAATACAGTGGCCATCTTGATACACATGACGTTTATACAGTGGCCATCTTGATACCCATGCAGTTTATACAGTGGCCATTTTGCTACACATGCAGTTAATACAGTGGCCATCTTGATACACATGGCGTTTATACAGTGGCCATCTGGATACACATGCAGCTTATACAGTGGCCATCTTGATACACATGCAGTTTATACAGTCGCCATCTTGATACACATGACGTTTATACAGTGGCCATCTTGATGCACATGCAGTTTATACAGTTACCATCTTGATGCATATGCAGTTAATACAGTGGCCATCTTGATACACATGGCGTTTATACAGTGGCCATCTGGATACACATGCAGCTTATACAGTGGCCATCTTGATACACATGCAGTTAATACAGTGGCAATCTTGATACACATGCAGTTAATACAGTGGCCATCTGGATACACATGACGTTTATACAGTGGCCATCTTGATGCACATGCAGTTTATACAGTTACCATCTTGATGCATATGCAGTTAATACAGTGGCCATCTTGATACACATGGCGTTTATACAGTGGCCATCTGGATACACATGCAGTTTATACAGTGGCCATCTTCATACACATGCAGTTTATACAGTGGCCATCTGGATACACATGCAGCTTATACAGTGGCCATCTTGATACACCTGCAGTTTATAATACAATGGCCATCTTGATACACATGTAGTTTATACAGTGGCCATATTGATACACATGCATTTCCTGTAAATGCTGTGTCACTGTCACCAATATATGCATAAAGATGAATGACCCATATGCTTGCATTGTTGACATATAATTTGAGTCAATCGGTTTGGATAGAGATGATATTAAATGGGGTCCTAAATTCATCATATGATGTTGATAAGTAATGGCTACCCCAGACCTGCACTGAACATTGGAAAATGGGATACGCTATATGTATCTGTGTCTTTATACATCCTTTGAGAAACTGGGCTGTCAGGTGCAGAAGTTTCCCTCAAACATCTCTCCAATAGCAAAGGTGGATTTTGGGAGGAGTATACACTGTGCATTATTCATACTAGGTGGTTTAATGATGACTAGATCAATAAGGTGGTACACAGTGTCTACCTTGAATGTTCTACTTGTAGAGTATAATGATGGGTTTTTTAACCAGCAGGCAGACCTTGATACAGTAAGATGGAGGTGAAGCGTGATGATGGTAGTCTTCTACAGATAGGACACAGGATTATCTGTGATGGCCACTTTGGGACTGTCCGCTACATTGGAGAAATTACAAATACAAAAGGTAATCTGATTAACAAACATTTCAGTTGTTTAAAACACTTAGAGGTACTGTGCTACACTGCCAAGGATAATTATATGTAGCATCCACTCTACTGTATACATATATCAAATGAACCGGCACTCGGTGACACCAGTGACATCTGAATATGTCTACATAAAATATCAAAGCATCAGGCTCTCTCGACTGATCATTTCTATTTCACAAAATTTATTGTAACATTAGTTCATGATTACAGTAAAGTCGTGATTAAAATATCACACTATTATCTCTATTTGGCACAGTTCTAAAACAAAATATTCCAATTATTTTGCTTTTTCATAAATACAGGAATATGTAGTTTAAGAAAAAAAATAGTAAAAGTTCAAAGGACTCAAAGAAGCTGAGAAGAATGAGAAACTTATACTTGGCTTGTAAGTTTTAAAGTTGTAAGATTTTGTTGTACTAAAGGCAGTAGCAAGGATTTGTGTGATATTACTTAGAATCTACAGTTATAGTGTAGTTCTAAGTCTTTATCAATGTAAGATGATGATGATGATGATGATGATGTATTTCTATTCCAAGATTGCTGGATTGGAGTAGAATGGGATGATTCCTCAAGAGGGAAACACAATGGAATACATGAAGGCAAACAATACTTCAGTACAGAGTAAGGAGCCCATACTTTTATATGGTACCCTGAATGTATCTAGTCAAAACTATTAAAGACAGTCAACACGTTAATGTTTAATGTAGTACCCTATCTAGTCAAAACTATTAAAGACAGTCAACACGTTAATGTTTAATGTAGTACCCTATCTAGTCAAAACTATTAAAGACAGTCAACATGTTAATGTTTAATGTAGTACCCTATCTAGTCAAAACTATTAAAGACAGTCAACATGTTAATGTTAAATGTAGTACCCTGTTTAGTCAGAACAATTAAAGACAATCAACACGTTAATGTTTAATGTAGTACCCTGTTTAGTCAGAACAATTAAAGACAATCAACACGTTAATGTTTAATGTAGTACCCTGTTTAGTCAGAACTATTTAAGAGAGCCTGTGCATGTTAATGTTTAATAAAGTACCACATCTAGTCGGAACTAGAATAGAGGGTCCACTTGTTAATGTTTAATAAAGTACCACATCTAGTCGGAACTAGAATAGAGGGTCCACTTGTTAATGTTTAATAAAGTACCACATCTAGTCGGAACTAGAATAGAGGGTCCACTTGTTAATGTTTAATAAAGTACCACATCTAGTCGGAACTAGAATAGAGGGTCCACTTGTTAATGTTTAAACCAGTACCCTACCACTTTATTGTAGTACCCACTCTAGTAAAAGTTTGTTATATTAGGAGTCCACGTTTTGTGCCCTGACAAGTAAGAATTTACAGTTTATTGTATTACTTGTTAATATTTTGTTGTTGCATAAATGGATTAAATATTTGTTTATTACAAGTGCTTCCTAAGACACAAATGATGATTCAAGAAAGTGCAATCTCATATTAAATTATCTATCTTCAAGTGACCCAACTGGAGGATCTTTCGTGCGTCCTAGAAAAGTAAAGATGGGAGTAAGCTTTTACAACGCCTTCCAGGATCGCTATGGGGAGGAGGAAGATGAGGAGGCAGGAGTGATCACTGCCGAACTTTTTGTTCTTGACAACAACAACAAAAAGACGATAGTGGAAATGGTTGGCGCCAAGTCTGTAAACAAAAAACAGAGGTAGAGTAGGATTTGTCATTCAAGTTGACGATTAGTTTATTGTCTATCATCCTTTGGATTAACAAAAGAACACACAATAAATACAGTTGTAATTTATAGATTATACAAAATATAGAAAAAAAGTTTTATATTCTATAAAGCACATCAGTAAACAATATCATAGGTTTTAAGTGTCAGTCCACTAACTGGGTTTTAGTTAACCATTGTGGGCAATGACCTTATTACATACTTTATATATATATATATGTACTTAATGTATACATTTATACAATTTTGTTGTATATATATATACAAATATATGGTGACTGTTTTTCTCTGTTTTATATTGTGATATGTAAATTTTCATGTTCCTGTCTTGATAAAGGGGCAGATCACCCTAAAAGTTTGACATTTTTTTTTGTTTGCACTGTCCTTATTACTTCTTTGCCCATACTGGTATATCTATTTAAGTAATACACATCCAACCAACATTTGTTTGTTCGGATCCAGTGCCAATATTGCATCATACTATCGTTATTACTTATGGGACCTATATATATCACCTAAAGTAATACGCATCATAATGTAGTTTTTCTTTTTTGTGATCACGCATATCCAGTTTTACTGTTTTGTTTTGTCTTATTATTTTTGCTTCCGTCTTTAACCATCGTTGTATCGTAAATTGTTTAATTTAAACAACACACTTAACTTAAAAGGAGTATGGGGCAATCCCCGGCTTGAGCGATCTCAAGCTGGTGACTAAGATAAGTTGTGGGGTGATCCCCAAGGCTTGAGCAATCCCAAGCTGTGGAGCGAGTAGCTAGCAGCCTAGCAGGCGGCCCTGTAAACAGGCACCGGGATCGCAACAGGCCCCGGGATCGCGATCCCGGTGCCTGAGTGTTCAAAGTATGAGTAAGAACATGGTTTACAGGGCGATCCCCAACAGGCACTTACACAGTTATACTCGGACTAGCTAAGCACGCCCTATAGTCACCTACCCTAAAACTATGTTAGATTACCATAAAGCAAACCAGGATTGAGAAATGTACGTGACTTAAACGGGGTGCTGCCCGGCAGGCACACAAACTGGTTATGATTACAAAAAATAAAAAATACAACAACAAGCATATAATGAATTGGGGGTATAATTCCCCGAATTACATGTCCTGTCCATGTCCCTTACACTAATAAGAGCAGCCCATTTACAATAGAGAATCTGGAAAGTGAAAGAAAAGTACAAAGTAAGCTTGAAACTGTAGAACAAAGTGCTGCGAGCCGGCTGCCCCAACCTGTTTTTTATGGACAGGGAGGTAGGTTTATCCAATGCTCATACCAGCTGACCAGGTGTCTCACCCTAGATGGCCTTATCTCTTTCCTGAACAAGTTACATCACAAAAAAAACACACAAAAAAACACAAAAAACTACAACAACAAAATAAATATACATGATACAATAAAAACATGGTATAAACATACAGTATTAAAGAAATATTATGATGTACCTATATAATTCAACAAAATAAACGAATAAATAAATAAACCTGAACAAGCAAGGTGGTGAAGGGGTGGATGGTGGGAACAAAAACAGACAGTGCTGATGCTGAGACTGCTTGAAATGCCTGAAGAAGTTATCAATAGGGCTATCCCTATAGGCTGAATGACCATTGGTCAACCAGGTCACGTGACATACTGTACACCTTACCAAATAAGGTAACGGAGAGCGACTGGTAAATATTGTGTACTAACAATTATTTAGGTAATCCCAAATAAACATTGATATATTGAGGGATGCATCACTCACCATTTCACTATGTTTTGTAGCCAGCTGGACAGCCTGGTAGAGGTGGCGGTGCGGGACATGTCTGTATATGGTGTGGGCCCACACTCGTCTGAGTTACGGACACATGGCCATAGTATAGCTGAGCTGGACATTGCCCACAGTCTGTTGCCTTCCTGGTCTGCAGTGGCAGCCATCACAGAGTGTCTGCCAGCATTGATGAGGCTCAATGTCAGGTAACATCATAAAGCGACAGACCATGAAAATATCTTTATATGCTTACTGTGTAAAGGATGTAAATTGTACATTGTGTCAAATTGCCTTACTAGCTTCGGCTAGAGGGAATTTCCCTTTAGCTCAGCAGTAAGACTAGAAAGTCTGGGATAGTGGGGTCAAGCCCCAGCGAACGCCATGTTCTTTTCACTAATTCCTTCAGATAGCTAGAGCTTCCTTTTAACAATAATTAATGAAAGGAAAGGTGGCGGATCAGGGTGTTGATCATTGTTGGTCACAAGGATGACCAGATTTTGAATTCTTTTGCGAAAGTATACATGTTCATATTAGTATTTAGTAGCACAATCATTATTAGACGTGTTGTGAGAGATTGATATAAGGAATAGAAATTATCCTTTGGCGTACTTTAGACTGATAGACATTTTCTGGATAGACTTGTGCACATGTTGTTTATAAACATATTTTATATTTCAGTGAAAACAAACTAGTGTTACCAACTAACCCGGTGGAGTTACAGTCATCATTCCCATGTGTGAAAGTACTTTACCTCAACAGGATAGCCTACAACTGGCAACAGGTACACACACATCCACTGTTACCTAATATATAACTCTGTCTTTACCTGATGTCAGTGAACCACAGAAATCAGTCGTAACTAATGTTTAGATGAGAATGTTTAAGAAACTAATTGTCAAAATGTAGAAATTATATTTCATGAATGAAATTGATTAATTTTTGACTGCAACTGACTGTGGAAGCAATATTTTCATATTGAGAAGTGTACAAACTTATGTAATTAATGATGTCCCTACAGGATTGAATTATTACATACCAGTTTTTGTTTCCCTGTTGGAAGGGTGATATGAAATCACTTTGATCTCGGGGGAATAGGATTGCCAATACATACTGGAATACTGTCATGTTTTAAAAACAACGATTAAAAAACTAAATGTAATAAATAGCAACAATAAAATTACCTTTTAGATTTAGATTGGCTGTTGACTGCCATTATTGTTGAGGTGGTAAAGGTTGCTAACTCTAGCAATAATTTGAGAGATGATGCTATTATTGTTGAGGTGGTAAAGGGAGATAACTCTATTAATAATTTGAGAGATGATGCTATTATTGTTGAAGTGGTAAAGGGAGATAACTCTATTAATAATTTGAGAGATTATGCCATTATTGTTGAGGTGGTAAAGGGAGATAACTCTATTAATAATTTGAGAGATGACGCCATTATTGTTGAGGTGGTAAAGGGTGCTAACTCTAGCAATAACTTGAGAGATGATGCCATTATTGTTGAGGTGGTAAAGGGAGATAACTCTAGCAATAATTTGAGAGATGGTGCCATTATTGTTGAGGTGGTAAAGGGAGATAACTCTATTAGTAATTTGAGAGATGATGCCATTATTGTCGAGGTGGTAAAGGGAGATAACTCTATTAATACTGTGAGAGATGATGCCATTATTGTTGAGGTGGTAAAGGGAGATAACTCTAGTAATTATTTGAGAGATGATGCCATTATTGTTGAGGTGGTAAAGGGAGATAACTAGCAATAATTTGAGAGATGATGCCATTATTGTTGTATTTTTTCTTTTACAGATACTTGAGTGTAGCTGTATGTTCCCTTTAGAACAATTACACGTCTGTTTTAATAGCATCACAACCTTGTCCGATCCTCAAAGTCACCTACAGAATCTTACCCTCATTAACCTTGAGTCCAACAATGTACAGTCTTGGTTACAAGTACTTCATCTTAGTCATTTACCCAAGTAAGTCATACATAGCAACATGATATATCCAAGTCGCTGCCATCAAGTATAGCACCATGTGACAACCCCAGTCTCTCAACTTTTTGTATTTCATTTCAAAATATTATTATAAAATCAATTGGATTCAAAGGGAATAGGGCAACAGGCAAAGCCTATACAAGCCCTCTCCCTCTCTGACATCAGGTTAAGCACTGTGTGACACCTCAGTCCCTGACCTTAGGTGTAGACACATGTGACTCTCCAGTCTCTGACCTTAGGTGTAGACACATGTGACTCTCCAGTCTCTGACCTTAGGTGTAGACACATGTGACTCTCCAGTCTCTGACCTTAGGTGTAGACACATGTGACTCTCCAGTCTCTGACCTTAGGTGTAGACACATGTGACTCTCCAGTCTCTGACCTTAGGTGTAGACACATGTGACTCTCCAGTCTCTGACCTTAGGTGTAGACACATGTGACTCTCCAGTCTCTGACCTTAGGTGTAGACACTTGTGACTCTCCAGTCTCTGACCTTAGGTGTAGAACCATGTGACTCTCCAGTCTCTGACCTCAGGTGTAGAACCATGTGACAGATTATGTGTAGCACCATGTGAAACATCAGGTGTAGCACCATTTGACACTAGTGTCTGTCCAAAGGTCAATCACCATGGGACACCTAAGTCTCTGACGTTAAGTGTAACACCATGTCTGCCCTCTAGGACTGCATAGGTATTTAATGTGCTTTTGTCTGATTGTAATCAAAAACAAGATATTTGTCATAATAATTGTTTTGGATATTGTCGAGGTAAAATATAGAGGTAAAAAGTGATATTATTGTTTATGGTCGTTTTATTTTTTAATTTAAAGCAGAATAAGGATTAGAATAAGAAATTCCGGTTGTTATCTTGTTAGTAACCGTGTATATGATTGTTTGTTCTAGATTAGAAAGTCTGATTGTGAGTGACAACAGTATTGACACCATAACCTTCTCTGATGTCGGCCATGGTGAAACAACCCAACACTTCCGTGTCTTGAAGTACCTCTGTATCAACCACAACAAAATAGCAGAGGTAATATAGAGATGTTATGTCTGTTATTGTTATATCTTCACTTCAAATGACCAGAGGTATACAGTATTCTCCTTGTCTGTCTGTCCTATGCCGGTTTCCTGAGCTGATCTCGGCCACTGTTTCATCTTTGGTCATGATACTTGGTGTATATGTATATCATGAGAAGGCGATGTGTTCAGTACATATATTCGTTCAAAGACCCACAACCTTGATTCTGTACTAGTTCAAAACAATGTGGGATGCAGGAGTAAACACTTCAGAGTTAAATCTAGTTTATTGTATTCAAGAATGTTTTAGTTATTCTTTCCAGCCCAGTGTTTAAACTGTTTAACCAAACACCAACAGATTGAAAGTTATCGTTACCATGAACAGTCACAAAACACACAAATTGTATTGAATTTATTTCACTTATTAAATTCATCATTCCTTAAAAACCATCAGAACTAATTTATTACCTGTCATCTTATTGTCAGGGAAGTGCTCTCAATCGACGTTTTGTTTAGTTCTGATGATATAAGGGTTGTTTATCATAACTAGATTTCAGCATTTGTCTTTTTCTGCAGTGGTCTAGTATTAATGAGCTCAACAAGTTAAAATGTTTGAAGGAGTTGAAGATAATCCAAAACCCCCTGTTAAACACTGCCACACCGGAGACAGTGCGCCAACTCATCGTAGCCAAGATAGCAGGTCTGGAGCACTGTAATAGGACAAAGGTATAGATAGACTCACATACGTCAATATGTAACTGGCTGGGAAAGGATAAGAGGGTACAGTAAAGCAGGTTTATAATGAACTTCAGACATAACTTCTTTACAGTAAAACATGATTACATGTAAAGTTAATATAGGAATATGTTGGATATTATATTAACAGCAAAACATGTTTATAACAAACTCCAGGGGACACAAGAAATGTGTCGCTACAGACATGATTACTATTCAGATTGATCTCCGGAGGGGAAAGATATAATTTCCTCATAAACAAGAATTTTGCAATAAGCATGTAGAATGTTTTGCTTGATTTCGATACAATCAAAAGCTAGTCATGTAATTATTTAAGAATGTACTAAATATCTAATGTTTTTTAAGTATAGTGTTTATATTTTGCTGAACTACACATTTTTGCTGTATTTGCAGTCTGAAAATATTTCAAAAAAGTTTATCGGTATACTTTCATATAATAAGTATTCATAATTAATTTTAATAATAAAGTGTTGAGGGTTTAGCATTTTTGGCAACTACATTCATGCATTGTGTTGAGATAGTTGTACCTGAGTAAACTTGGTCAGATTAATCTTTAGAATATAGCTATGCATGCATATTACTCCATTAACATGTGTACAAGCACTGAAGTCTATGTGTGTAACAGGTGACTAAGGAGGAGAGGCGCGGTGCAGAGATTGACTATCTCAAGAGATTTGGTCAGCTCTGGATTAAATCAGGGGGCTCTCAGGACGACAAGAATAAAAAACCAAGCACAGAGTTTACCAGTCAACACCCTCGCTACCAGGACCTAGTCAGAGGTTTGTTATCAGGGCTAATCATATTAGTCCCCCACTGGCCACGCAACATGTTAGTCCCCCACTGGTACTGCTGGGGGCCACTCACCATGTTAGTCCCCCACTGGTACTGCTGGGGGCCACTCAACGTGTTAGTCCCCCACTGGTACTACTGGAGGACACTCAACGTGTTAGTCCCCCACTGGTACTACTGGAGGGCACTCAACATGTTAGTCCCCAACTGGTACTACTGGAGGGCATGCAACGTGTTAGTCCTCCACAGGTACTACTAGTGGACGCTTATCATGTTAGTCCCCCACTGGTCTACTGGAGGGCACTCAATTTGTAAGTCCGCCACTGGTACAAATGGTGGGCACTCAACATGTTAGTCCCCAACTGGTACTACTGGAGGGCACTCAACATGTTAGTCCCCCACTGGTACTACTGGAGGGCACTCAACATGTTGGTCCCCCTCTGGTACTACTTGAGGGCACTCTACATGTTAGTCCCCCTCTGGTACTACTTGAGGGCACTCAACATGTTAGTCCCCAACTGGTACTACTGGAGGGCACTCAACATGTTAGTCCTCCACAGGTACTACTAGTGGACGCTTATCATGTTAGTCCCCCACTGATCTACTGGAGGGCACTCAATGTGTAAGTCCGCCACTGGTACAACTGGAGAGCTATCAATGTGTTAGTCCCCCACTGGTACTACTAGAGGGCACTCAAGGTTTACAATGCATTGTGTCATATTTTCTATTCAATCTGTCTTTCCATCCTAACATTTCGTATGGGTGTATCTGATTTATTTTTTCATTTGTGTTACTAAATATTGTATGGTACACTGATCCACTTATATTATGGCAGTATGTTACCTATCATAAGCAGGTTGCTGTGACCTATATTTTGACCCCTAATCATTGAAAATGATTGTGTGGAGCACTACCTAACTCTTGTACTACATTGTATTTCACCTTGAGTTAACATATCTTGTATGTAGGTATATCTTGTTCTTGTCTGATATAAGACATGCTGAAGGTGTTTTGGAGGTGTTTAGGCCTGTGTATCGTGTATGATAATATCCATCTTTTTTATCTCATGATGTTCTATGTTACAGTGTATGGACCTCCCGAAAATTCTGAGATGAAACAGAAAGAAAAGTCCCTTAAAGACAGTTTAATCAGTATCTTTTAATATTATGATAAATGACTAGCAGACAAACTTTATCGAAATCAATGAAATTAATGAAAACAAGTTGCTCACTTTGGGAACAGTCAGTTTTAATTGTGGAAGATCCATTCCAGCTATAACAGCCATTCCTGCTATAACAGCCGTTCTTTCACCTGGAAGTGTTGATAAATTTAGTAGATATCCATGGAGCTTGCTGATCTCAGTTTGTTTTGAGGTAAATAATCGGAAAAAAAATCAATTTAAACATTCAGACTTTTTCTGTAAATCAACAGTAAATTCTAGTTGACCTAATTGAATATTAACATATATTATACATTATACACTTCTATACAAAATCAATTTAGGACACACTATCCCTTTAATACTACAGTAAGGACTGTAATTATATATAATAGACTATTTCCTGAAAGTTGACGATAATCTCTGATTTCTCTGACATTGTGTTATTCTGTTTTACCATGATACATGTACATACTATATTTATACAAGGCCACTTCAAGTTCCTTAATCATATGCAGCTATTAATATAACCAGCCCCTATGATCCTGACAAGGGCACGAAACAGAAGAAAATCCCAGGTGAGATCTATTGCCATAGCACATGATAAAATAATAAATTACATCTACATGTATACTGAAGTCAGGCTGGCTTAATAGCCATCTGCAAAGAGACTTACCTGCTGTATCATAAATAGTGATGTACGAAGTCAGATTCCAGTCTTATCCATGGTGCTGTAGGCAGCAAGATGGCGGTCTCCCCATGGGACTGTAAATGATCAGGTGCCAGTCTCCCCCATACTTATCACATGACAGTTACTTTGCAACTGCACTGTCTGTCAAAATGTTACTTGTTTTTGTGTGGTTTAATAAAAAGAATTACCTGTAAAAATATCCTCTTTTGAGAATTTGCAGAAAAAGGGGATACATGATTATTAAGATTCCCATTATCAATAACTTGATTTAATAAGACATCCAAATAAAGTTCCCATACAACACGTTGTAGAAATCATTACAGAACCAGTTGGTATTAAGTATGTTTAACGCATAGGAGTATATGTTATGTGGATGGTGAAGTAGGGACAGAGACTATATTTATATACCTGGTAATAGTTTGGCAGCTAACATGTCTAAATATGGTAATGTTATTATTGAAGAAGTCTAAATGTGATAATGTTATTATTGAGGAAGACATCGAATAATAGATTAATACATTTATTTGTATTGTTACAGAAACAATGACGGTACAGAAATTAAAGGCTCTGATCCAGAAGCTTTTCAAATGGGATAATGGAGAATTACAACTTTCCTATGAAACTAAAAAGGTACATGTATTGTAATTATTTAACCTACATTTTGTTTTACAGATAAGACTTTGATACTTAAAAACACATCTTATGGTGATCATAATTGCCTTCACAATCTAGCATTGTCAAGTCAAATATTCTAAAAACATTGATACCATTATGAAAACCTTGTTTTAGACATTACGAACATTATGAATGTATGTAAAAATAACATTCTTCTTTTTCTATTTGCAGATGAAAAAGGTTGAAATAGAATTTGACAATGACCTTCGTCCCATATCGTTTTATTCCATTGAGCCAGGAGATACCATACTGGTGCGTTGGTAATCTCAAAGACACAATATTCACTTAGAGAGGAGAAAGATTCTATCATTCCCTGGAAACACACCATACAAATGTGACGCTTAAGACTGGGGGGAGTAGACACCCCATATAATTGTGATGTACTGGACACACCATATAAGTGTGCAAGTAATCATGGGAGACACCCTACTAGTGGGATACTTAGTCATTGTTATCACTGGCGGGAGTGAACACCCCAGGTTATAGTAATAACAAGGGACACCTGTCTGGTGGGATACTTAGTCATTGTTATCACTGGCGGGAGTGAACACTCCATGTTATAGTAATAACACCTGTCTGGTGGGATACTTAGTCATTGTTATCACTGACGGGAGTGAACACCCCATGTTATAGTAATAACGAGGGACACCTGTCTGGTGGGATACTAAGTCATTGTTATCACTGGCGGGAGTGAACACCCCAGGTTATAGTAATAACGAGGGACACCTGTCTGGTGGGATACTAAGTCATTGTTATCACTGGCGAGAGTGAACACCCCATGTTATAATAATAACACCTGTCTGGTGGGATACTAAGTCATTGTTATCACTGGCGGGAGTGAACACCCCATGTTATAGTAATAACACCTGTCTGGTGGGATACTTAGTCATTGTCATCACTGACGAGAGTGAACACCCCATGTTATAATAATAACGAGGGACACCTGTCTGGTGGGATACTTAGTCATTGTTATCACTGACGAGAGTGAACACCCCATGTTATAGTAATAACGAGGGACACCTGCCTGGTGGGATACTAAGATCTGGAGACATACAAATGGTGCATTAATCACTTGTGTTGTATTTACATGTAAACTCTATGTATGTTTTATTATTGAATGTTTGAAGATTGCTAGTGTGTATTAGATTAACTTTGACATTAATATATTCATCTTGCTTCATTTATCATATGAGTTGACCATCACACTCCAGTGATCATTGTCTAAGGTTGACCATCACACTTTACTACCTTCTATACATGTAATGTTACAATATACAAGGAGTATTTGAACCATCAACATGTGATTGATAAAAATTGCTTTTTGTGAGAATGAGAATTATTTTTATTTGCATCCAGTATTTTCTTCAAATCTGAATAGATTAATAAATCTATCTATATGTCTATAAACAGAGTTTGGTATGTAGTTTTGAATTCCGTGACCTGTAGATTTCAATTGCTCTTAATATACAAGAAAACATTCTAATATTGTTTTGTTATCAAAAGTTAATGTAAATTACAAGACAACATGAACATTTGAAATCTATATCTTTTTAAAGTCATGTTAATTTCTGTGGAAGTTAAATACATCATTGCATCAAATAAAACATGCTTAATCATAATGACTGGTGACTGTTTAAATATATAACCCAGAAGTATGGCAGATTTATTTATAAATGGTACAAAAAACACAAGTTAAGTCAAAAGTTGAGTTTTAGTAAATAGGAGTTTAATTATAATTTAGTAGATTTATTTTAAAGTGAAAGTTTCATTTTCACTTCATTAAAATGTGAAAGCATTTTATTGCTTGTCTCAACCAATCCTTTACAAAATACTGTCCACTACCTGCTGTGTAAGACAACAGGAAAGAAGGGTGTAAGGATTGTCTGATATATCACGCTGTAGAGAAGTGGGTCTCTAAATCTCATCCGATTTATCACAATATGGAGAAAGGAGTCTCTAAATCTCCCTTCTCCTAAATCATGTCGGATATAGGGCGGTCAGGTGGTGCAGTGGATAGCGCACTTGCCTTTCAACAAGGCAGCCGGTATGGGGACACCTGCCCGACCACATTGGTTTTCTCCGGGTACTCCAGTTTCCTCCGGGACCCTCACCCCCTAACATCCGGGCCAACAAGAGTGATTAATATAAGTTGAAATAACTTGTTTCGTAATTGTTGTAAAAAAAGATAAGTTAATATGTATGTCGGATATATCACACAACAGAGAAGGAGGTCTCTAAATCTCTTGTCTGATATAACAGACTATCATAGAGAAGAGTTGAATATTAGACTCATTTTACCTCCAGTGAATTTGTGTCATCGTCAAATAAAGCATATATCCTGTGATGGTAAGCTATTCAACTTTGCACTTTACTTATTGATAAGCAAAACCAAGACAACTACTGAAGTGAATGTGTGAGTTAACAATAAGATGGATTGAATTATTACTATTCAAGATGCAAAGCTGTCCACTACTCTGTCAGAGTACTATCAACTGACGCGGTACAGTACTTATTGAAGTACAGCGTTGAAATTCCAATTTTGTTACAATTGTTGAAATCAAAGTGCTACATAATTAATAGATGATGATTGTATTAAATGTAATTCATGAAGTGTCAAAAAAGGGTAGTAAACTATGATTGGTTGTAGACATTTTCTTACAACAAATTTATGTACCCGTATATTAGAACTGGTTTGTGTGCTTCTACAGACAAATAACAGACATTCCTGTGTTTAGACTAATCAATATGTGTGCCATCATTGCATCGACCCTGCTCAGTTACAACACTTAATTTTCAATAGCTACGACTGCCATACTTTTTAAAATCACTTAAGATCATTTGGTTGTGTGCGAGACCACATCTGTGTCATAAGGGGTACGATAAAGGTCTTCACATCTTAAGTACTGCCCTTGTCTGTGATGTGTGCGAGACCACATCTTTGTCATAAGGGGTACGATAAAGGTCTTCACGTCTAAGTACTGCCCTTGTCTGTGATGTGTGCGAGACCACATCTGTGTCATAAGGGGTACGATAAAGGTCTTCACATCTTAAGTACTGCCCTTGTCTGTGTTGGTCAAACATACCAACATTGAAGTAAAAAGATAAAATTGGATTGCAAAGTTAAAACCAAACTATTCAAGGTAAGAGTTCTGATAGATGACAAACTACCTACATACTTTGGTGATATCTGTGTCTGTATTTCCTTCACTACTGACTTCTGATCTTTGGTAAGTGCATCTCAACCTGATAAAGTAGATAACTAATAGTAACATTGAAAGTCACACAAAATAGATTAATTGTTCATCTGTTGTCTTGGCCTGGGTGTTAACTATGCTGAATATATAGAAAAGTTGTAATAGTAAAGTATGCTTATACATGACTGACTGTTCATCTGTGGAAATAATTGATATGTACATCATCATCAACCAATAAACCAGTTCTGTTCTTTTCTTCATGACGTTGGTTTTATTCTGTTCCTTCCTGCACCAAAAAGCAAACATTCATAGTTGAATAAGGAAACAGAATATTGTAACATGAGGTGAAAAAATGATTTTATTATGATCACAGTTTACGGAAATAATGAATTGAAATTTTCTTTATGGTCAAGTTCTTTGTGGCAAAACAATAATTTATATGTAGCACATGGAAAATTCCAGGGATATGGTATTTCATCAAACTGTGATGTTACAGCAGTATTTAAACTACCCAACATCAGGTTAGAACGGGCCATGTCCAACTGGATATTGTACAGAAGTCCAGCGTGATCTTTAACGGGCAAGGCCACTGTTTCACCTGGATCAGCACTGATGTTGTAGATAAAAGTTGTTTTCGGAGACTTGCAGTCCTTCAATTTGCAGTCTGTGAAATGAACCTTCATATCTCCCACAGTAACAGCCCAGTCTGAACCTGACTTTGTCAGGTCGCAAATGTGGAACAAATGACTGTGAATAGCATCAGACTTTTGTTTAGGATTTTCAAACAATGGCACAAGACTTTCACCGTCTAATTTATGGAACTGATACTTCTTTTTTATGTTTGTTATATCAATTACAGTTGGGAAAATATCCAGCACAGATGTAACAACATCAGTGTCACTATTTGGGCTGATGTGTCCTGGCCATCTCATTACAGCGGGAACGTGAATTCCACCCTCGTAGGGTGACCCTTTTTCGCCCTTCAGACTGATTTTTTCCCGACCACGATGGAGAACCCCTTGTCCAGTCATGCTTCTGTGAATTTTATTTCCTGTGAATAGGTCGGTAAATTGGGGTCCATTATCTGACAGAAATATCACAGCAGTTTCTTTTGATATACCTTCCTTCTCTAGAGTTTGTAATATTTTCCCAACACTCCAGTCTATTTCTAAAACGGCGTCGTAATATGGGCTTATTCCTGACTTGTTTTTGAACTGTTCTGATGAAAAGGCTGGATATTTTGGTTGTAAATATGATACCATTAGAAAGAAAGTTTCTGATCGTCGAAACTTAAGATAGTTGACTGCCTCCAGTGTGATACGCTGTGTCATTTTGTCATCCTGATACGGTTGTTCACTGATCACATTGTCCCTGTATAATACACAGCTACTCTGGGACAAGGGACCAAGCCAACAATACGTCCTCAACACGAGCAACGACAGGCCTCCTATCACTATCAAAAGGATCAAAGATACTTCTCGTTTGACTCCAAAAAGCCTTGGTACAATGCAAGCTATGGCCACAGATAAAACCACAATCTGATTTTGCCGTAAGATTAGGAGGAAGAAATCCCAGTCTGTGAACCTGAACACTGTGTTTGAACTACATCCAGGGCCATGTGACATTGGTGTCCCATAAAATGAAACGAAACCTGTACTTCCTGGGAGTTGTTCTCCTTGACTTCCTGCACCAAGATCCCATCTACCCATAAATACTGTCTGGTATTTCATTGAAGAAGATGCATACAGAGATGCAATGTTTGGATCTTCTACACGCAGACCTCCAGACTGGGCAAGGCTCCAGAAAGATGACCATCCCAGAGCTCCTTTGCCAAGTCCCTTTCTTACAGGATACATACCTTATTAAACAGAAAGCAAAATCAATAATTATCAGCAAATTGAAGTACATGTACTACAAGTTATTCAAAGTCATGAAATATGTTCAGTCATAAATAATTGTACAGAAAAGAAGAAAAGATATCGTCTTTAATTTGTTGTGATCTTTTCAGACCAAAGACACAATAAAGTAATAGGTAGTACAAGTTCAAGTCAAGATACATCAAACCAAAGTTCTTTTCAAAAATGTTCTTTGGCTTAGAAATTATGTACCTTGACAAGCCTTACAATGATACTATTTTTATTCACGTTTTGTGACCTTGACCTTAGTATAGAGTTTACACAACACACTGTTCAATTACAATACATCTGTATGTGAAGATTCTTTGAAAATGACTAATCCGTAAAAACGTTCAAGCAAGGGAAAGCATTACAATTGTTTGACAGCTGACCTTGCTTTTATTTTGACATGAGGTATGGTGGTAAATTGCTGGAATCTGAAAACAATTATTAGAGTTTGGACCTATTATTTTGACGTTTACCTTCGAATTACAGACGGAGAGTCGAAAGATAAATGCTACCAAGTTGTGATACAAAATTGACCTTTATATAAAGTTTTTGTAGAACATTTCCAGCCGGCATAAATGGAAAGTGGTGACCATGACAAGATTTATAATGATTTATCTTGATGTGACATTAATCTGATGAAGGCACAAACCCAAGAGTTATACATTTTGCATTTTTTTTTAAATCCTACATAACTTAAACAGAACATCAAAATATACTGTAAAACCCAGCCATATAGTCATTTAATCCCAGTTAAGCCTATTATTTGCTACTTTTTACCTTTTTGAAAGATTATTTTGTGCTTGCTGCATCTCCTTCACATATATTACTAGAGTATTATCAGTGTATACGTCTTCTGTACACGTATGGTCATCTACTCAAATAATTTACTAGTTCCATACTTAACCGTTTTTGATCAGAGCGGAACTCTTTGCAAAAGATATGCATGTCACAATTGTCAGCTGATTGTATAAGACATATGTCATCCTTAACCAACGTGTCACAAATAATTAATAAGGCGTACAAATTTCAATACCAGATATGATTGCCGACATAGTGCCCGTGTCTGATGCCATGGAGTACATTCTGTTGAATTTCATCCCTTCCTCTGCAATCCTGTCGATATTCTTTGTCTTGACTGCCGTGCTTCCATAACAACTCAAATCTCCAATGCCCATGTCGTCAGCTATTAGAATTATAACGCTCGGTTTTGTATTTCCTTGAGATGCATTTGCAAAATACAGATGTAAGATAGTTCCCAATATCTCAATTGCAAAGTCAAATGCATTTTTTCGCTGCATTGTGATGGTTGTGAAACACGCACGTACTTGTAAGTCGAAACTGAAAATAGAAACCGGAAGTTTACAATCAACATGATAGTCGCGCTGTAATTTCAGTGATAAAAAAAATAAATATCTTCGATTTTTTTTACATGAACACCTATAAATATATTTAGTTTAATTAGTTACCTTTATAATTGAAAATTTTCCTCGGTGCATTTTCAAAACATTCGTGATTTCGAAATTGACTACGAGTGCATCACATGTATCAAAACATCGTCGTCCTTCTATGCATCAATGATGCATGAGCTGTGACAGTCACAGGATCATGCACTTTGTTAAGGGTTGACGACATGGTGTATAACTTCCAAGAGTCTTCCGTGATGTCTACCCGGGTAAGTGAAATGAAGATATATAGCCTACTGAAAGGATAAAGAAATACAGGATAACAAAATAGGCAAAGATTACTGGTTGGCCTAAAATTATGAAAACCGGCCAGACGAGTAACTTCGTCACTGTGCACTCAAACCGGTGTCTAAAGTTACTCAACCATGTAATGTACTGTGCCACAAAGTGAAAGTGTTAAAATATAAAACAAAAATTTAAAAAAAAACCACGTCCAAAACAGTGATGACAAGTTCGTCAACACATCTTGTCATACCACTTCAAGATACTCTTGAGGTATACACATCGCTTTCTGCTATTTACTGTCAATATGAATCTCTTGTAATTATGGTACGGCTGACGGAAGTTCAGAGGGGTACTATTGCATTGCTAATGCAAGGTCAAAGGCAACAACATGTTGCTGTTCAGTGTGAATGTTTCCATCATAGACATCTTGTCCGTCGTCTGAGAGACACCTGAAATGTTGCTGACCGACGATTGGGACATCAAGGCAGGGTTGTTCGACTTGCTCACCTGCACAATGGCCCCGTTACTGCCACTGAAACCGTTATTAATGTGGTAAGGTACATTTACCCCAAAACTGTAAGGAACCAATTACACAAGTTTGGTCTGTCAGCTGACGTCATCCTGACATTGGTCTGCCTCTCACTCAAGCACATCAGGCTCATTGTATTGCTTGGCAGCACATGCTCCCAGACGATTTCCAATGAGGCAATGGAGACAGGTCTTTTTCACAGATGAGCCCCAGTTCACTCTTTTTCATTTTCGTTTTTTTCGTCAACGTTGCATGTGTATACCGATGTCGTGGGGAAGCTAACGCTAGTGTGTTCTTGAGAGTGATAGGTTTGGGGGTGGCTGGGTTATGGTCTGGGGAGGGATATCTCACAGGGTAAAGTCACCGTTGATTGTGATAGCCAGGAATTAAACTGCCATAAGATACAGGGATGAAATCCTCCACCTTGTTGCAGTTCCATTTGTGCAATAGCATCACCTGATTTTCATGCATGATAATGCCCGGCGCCATGTAGCCAGAGTTTGTCAAGACTTTTTAGCAATTAAACCATAACATGAACCCGCTCGAATGGCCGTAGTATAGTCCAGATTTGTCCCCAATCAAGCATCTGTGGGAAGAACTTGACAGGAGGGTAAGGGGCGATGGAATGCCCTCGCTACTCTCGACAAACTAAGGACTGCCTTGTTGAAAGAGTGGAACAATATCCCCATGAGAAGGATAAACACACTGATAAACCCCATGCACATTAAGAGAAAAAGGGCTGTGACAGATGTGCAAGATACTAACGATTGAGTCAGTCTATTTCACTTTGAGATATTGGGGGTTCCGTCAAATGTGCTTCAAATACTCATGAATTATTGGTAAAAGTCAAATGAATTTTTTGGTAATTTGATTATTAAATATGTTTTTTTTTTATACTTATACATAACAAATACATAACATTAAGTCACCTCAAGTGTTTACCCTGCGTTTCTTTATCCTTTCGGTGTATTTCTCAGAAGTTTTAATTAGTGGGCTTCATTAAGATTATTTATTAGACTATAAAGAGATTCAAATCCCTGTGGAAAGACATCAAATGGCGAAAAATAGTAAACATAGGCACTGTAGTGTGCAGGCCTCCATCAAGTCATGAACCATACTCAATATATTGCTTTATTGGGGGAGTCCAAGGGTTGTAATCTAGCCTTTATTGGGGGAGTCCAAGGGTTATAATCTAGCCTTTATTTGGGGAGTCCAAGGGTTATAATCTAGCCTTTATTTCGGGAGTCCAAGGGTTATAATCTAGCCTTAATTGGGGAGTCCAAGGGTTGTAATCTAGCCTTTATTGGGGGAGTCCAAGGGATATAATCTAGCCTTTATTGGGGGAGTCCAAGGGATATAATCTAGCCTTTATTGGGGGAGTCTATGGGTTATAATCTAGCCTTTATTGGGGGAGTCTATGGGTTATAATCTAGCCTTTATTGGGGGAGCCCAAGGGATATAATCTAGCCTTTATTGGGGGAGTCTATGGGTTATAATCTAGCCTTTATTGGGGGAGTCTATGGGTTATAATCTAGCCTTTATTGGGGGAGCCCAAGGGATATAATCTAGCCTTTATTGGGGGAGTCAAAGGGTTGTAATCTAGCCTTTATTGGGGGAGTCCGAGGGTTATAATCTAGGCTTTATTTGGGGAGTCCAAGGGCTATAATCTAGCCTTTATTTCGGGAGTCAAAGGGTTATAATCTAGCCTTAATTGGGGGGGCCAAGGGTTTTAATCTAGCCTTTATTGGGGGAGTCCAAGGGATATAATCTAGCCTTTATTGGGGGAGTCAAAGGGTTGTAATCTAGCCTTTATTGGGGGAGTTCAAGGGTTATAATCTAGGCTTATTGCCAGTATTTAGGCAGTTATTTTAGTATCTGATACATACATACTTGCCAACTCTACCGGTTTTGGAGGGAGACTCCCGATTTTGGACCCTAAAATTGAGCATTTTCAACCAGTTAATTTCCTAAACTATTCCTATATTCTAACGTCTAATGATTTCATCTGAACGAACAGCTCAAAAGATGCCATTTAAAAGTGTTGTTTTTCCCCTAGGGTGTACATACATACATTTTATTTATTAGCTCACCTGGCACGAAGTGCCAAGTGAGCTTATGCCGTGGCGCGGCGTCCGGCCGTCCGTCCGGCGGCTGGCGTCAATATTTTACTTTAAATGACTTCTTCTTAAAACCCGAAAGGCCTAGGGTGATGATATCTGGCCAGAAGCAAACTGGGATAAAGGGCTACAAAGTTTGTAAAAATTAATGACCTTCACCCATTTGCAAGGTCACAGGGGTCAAATATGTTAAAAACTTTAAACATCTTCTTCTTGATAACCAAACTGCCCAGGGAGACGATATTTGGCCAGGAGCATGCTTGGGTGAAGGGCTACCAAGTTTGTTCAAATGAATGACCTTCAATTATATTCAAGGTCACAGGGGTCAATTGTCTT